CCGCGGTACAATTATAATCCATTCATTGTTTATCTATTTATAACTAAATATACATTACTCGTGCATTGATATTTAGATTTTTTTAACTAAACAATTGAGTAAATAAACAATTATTTATTCCCGAAGCGGGAGAACAAAATTGTTCTCTGTTTACTACGTTTTGAGCCGTTGTTTATTCGGAATTTTAGTTTATTAAACTGTTATTAATATATGAGTAAAAGCTTAAAATTCTTTTGTTTGTGGTTGTAAAACATGCCCAAGTGTACATGACGCAGGGAGATGTAAAAACAATTAAATGTCTTAAGATCTTTACGATTGCGAACAACAAAGGTTTTGTAAGAGCTTTACGTCTTATATGAGAGAGTGCAGGCTGAGAGAAACCTTTCATGTTGATATATTCAATAACAATGATATTATAAGTACGTCATTGTAAAGAATTACGCCTGCCATAGACGGACTGCTTGAAGTTTGGTACTGATTGTTTCAAGTATTTGTGCTTGTGTAAAACGTGTATGGCAGCTTTATTTCTGAAGCATTATTTCTTTAGAATAGTACTATGTAGTTTATATTTATTGCATGTTAATCAAATTTAACAGTTAATGCTGTGAAAAATGTAATTTCCACTACTTTTCCATATGTCATGCGAGATATCGTTTTCTTAACCACTGTTCCGAAACAATAAGCAAACATGTTTCTCTCTAAAAAACACATTTACAATTTCTTAATATAATTTTACACTGTACAAAGTATTGCGTGTACAAATTATAATATGTATTAAAGGAAACAAGGTCAACTACGTACTATGTTTTTAAAATATAAAGTGTTTCATACAAATCAGGAATTACTTATTTTATATACATATGCGTAATACGACATTGTATCACTTATTGGGTTTTTCAGAGTTTCTATCAAAAATATGTGACATTGCAAGAACGCATTAAATACGTCATCAAGAGAATTTACACGAGATTTATTCATGTACTATACGCCGGAGGCTACACAAATCTAATATTCGTGATAAGCTCTCATCCACTTGCACTTATCCCTTACGGAGTGTCAGCAAAGTATGTGCTGCTCTTCCATACATCTCTATCAGCAGTCATTTCTGAAACCACTCCTTTCTTAAGCATATTTTTCACACAATCCATCCATACTTTCTTCGGTCTTCCTCTTTGTAGCCATCCATAAACATTCTTAACACTTTCTGGTAAGTATTCGTGATAAGCTCTCTGAAACGCATTTTCAGTGTGAATTAAATCATGTTTATATATATGTATATTACATAACGATGTATACAAACCGGCGTGATGCAGCGCGGTCTCGAACGGCGCCCTCTGCAGCCGCTCCTTGATCTCTGCCAACAACAACACAAATAGATCAATGCTTTGCCAAGAGACGACGCGCGCGTGTCCGCCACAGCGATGCGATAATCATATCGTTCATTTTTAATTATTACATACTCTCTAAGATGCAAGTTCTACACTAAATGCAAATCTTAACATAAATGAAATTTGACAATAATTTTCTTTATTACACTTTCTGTGATCATTTAATGGAAAGTTTGAAAGAAAATTCGATTTTTAGCACATATTAATATAGTACCTACTATATCATGCATACACGACGATTGTTATACAAAAGAAAAATTAGAAACAGATGGCCTATCACGAATTTTAGTGAGATTGTTTTCGTAACATTATTACCATTTGTATTTGATTTGTGCAGTGCCGAAAGTACACCCATACTTTCTCGCAACTGTCACGAAACTCGTGATAGACCCTCAGTTCGATGTAAAGTTGCGGAGGCGGCTGACCCGGAAAACCTCGGCTTCCTGCAGCTGACTAATGTAATTTGCTGCTCATCATCAGTCAATTGACACACTTGTCTCGTAATGAATGCTTCCGGTACTACCTAATTGATGGTATGAATTTAAAAAAATCAAATGCAAAATCTAATTTGATAAAAGTTACAAGTAACTTAAGAATTCCAATGAGACATACAATAATGCCTAAAGTTTAATTCTACTTGTGATCCTATAGTAATACACTTTTTAAAAAGTAACAGGAATTTACTCGGAAAGGATTAAGAATCATCATCATCATCATCATCATCTCCTTATCCTACTCCCGTAGGGTCGGAGCAACAGGTTTTTGTCCTCCACATAACTCTATCATACGTCATCTCAGTCATCACTCCCTTTTTGATCATGTCACCTTTTACACAATCCATCCATCTCTTTCTAGGTCTACCTCTACCGATGTACCCTTCCACACTCATAACTAACGTTCTCCTTGTAACATGCGATTCATCCCTCCTCATAACATGCCCATACCATGCTAACCTTTTACTCCTAACCTTCTCTACTATGGGGGCTACTCTCAAACTTCCTCTAATATACTCATTTCGTATCTTATCCATTCGTGTTACCCCACACATCCATCTTAACATTCGCATTTCTGTCACATGTAGTCTTCTTTCATCCGTCCCTTTTACTGCCCAACATTCAGATCCATACATCATGACAGGTCTTACGACGGCCTTGTAAATTTTCCCCTTTAATTTAAGTGGAATTTGAGGGTCGCATATTACTCCTGTGACCTGTCGCCATTTCATCCATCCCGCTTTTATTCTATTTGTCACGTCACGGTCAATGTAGCCGTCGCTTTGGATTAATGAGCCAAAAAGGAAAGGATTAAGAATCTTTTATTTAATAACAATCTACCAAACGTTACTTGATATCAAAGTGAAATTACCTTACTCGAGGAATATGAGATTGACATTTGTAAATATCAAAAGCTCTTAAAATATGTGAGTAATATTCGAAAATGTTAATGATAAAATATATATTTAGAAACAATAATTACTCAGTAAACAAAGGAGTCAAGAATAGACAGAGAAATTGACACATCTAGACAAACTAATTCAATTTCGTTTAGTTAAACTAGACCGAACAAGGTAGACAAACATCGTGTTATAACCAATTTCAGTGTTAAACTGAAACCAGACTACGTCGTACCTAAAACCGATAAACCGGTACGTATCCAACCGTACCGGAAATAACCGGTATTCCATTAGTTTGATTCGACGATCAATTGCGAAGGTAATAAAGTCGAGGACGTGCGCGGTACATATTGATAACTAATTTACACTTGTTGAACCTGATTTGATCTTAGTGCTTACAGACCACTTAGGACGTCTAGATATGTGGGCATCTAACTCTTCTAGTGGTTTCGATTTAATTTGATTAGTAATTGCGAATATTTTCACTGAAGGTGTTTAGTTGTCGAGGGTTCTAACTGAATTCCTGGTCTTCCGTGAAGTATCACAGAAAATGTAAACTACATGTACATACATACTAAGAAATATTTCTAAACCTTCGATTATTTAGTGTCTTGTTTTAAAGTGTTTTTTACACTGATTGCGAAGTTATTTTGGCAAGACTGATGAAGATATCGCGGTGCATATAATTGTATGTGAATGAAGTAAGTTGAAAGGAATATCAAACGGCAAGCAAAGTCCGCCAGTCGGTCTGTTTGAAAACAAAGCTGGAACAGCGAGATGTTATGTCTACGTCGTGACGAGTTATTTCTGACGCTGGCCGGCAGGGGGCGACTCCGGTTGCCTCTATTGTTTGCGACCATCTCTACATCTAGAGGCAACTCGATGCCGCGATCATATTTACTACGGTAATCATAGCATTCATACAGTGTCTGAGACATAAATCGTCTATATAAACGCCTATATTTTATATGAAACTAGCCTTCGCCCAAAACTCCGTCAGCGTGATTTTAAAATAAACAAAAGTGAGCCTACGTGTTCCAGATTTCATCGAAATCCGTTCAGCCGTTTAGGCTACAAACTCTAACAAACATCCATCCATTCCGGTCAACTTTCACATTTATAATGTTAGTATGATTTATGGAATTTAACAACCGTCACCCCGCTTTGTCCCCATGTGAGAGTAAAACGTTTTATTTTTTAGTCCCACTATCACCGATTGGGTGAAAGATGGAACCGTTATGAAATAAAATATGTTAAGTTCCAACCGTCCCCACGTCGCAAAAGAAGGTACAAATGAATCTTTTTATTCTCATCTGTCCTCACGTGGGGACAGAGCGGGGTGACAGTTGTGAATCATCCAAATTTAATCCAAAAGTAGTATAGCATATCAATATGTAGTCTTTCCATTTATCATTTGTAATGCGTCCTTGTAATACTGTTCAGAACCGGATATAACACAATAAGTTTTAAATTGCAAGAGCAAAAAATATATCAACATTTTGTTGAAATGATTGGCACACAATGAATGCAACAATCGTATAAAAAGTAACAAGTATTAAAATATCAATAAATAAAAACAAGCGACTGGTCAAGCGAAAAAACGATAAGTAAATAATAAGTCTAGATTTATAAGCATTTTATTAAATATTCGGTGCTTTAGAAATTAAACAATTGAAGTTCATTATCAGCAGAATTTAATGTAGAATAAAATTGTCCTTTACGGTATTTAAATTGCACTAATAGTTTAGAATATATCGCGAACACAAACAATAAGGGTAACCGAAAAATAAGCTTACAAGCTACCGGGCTTAGAAATTTGGATCTTACATCGGTAGATTTCTGTTATTACGTAGATTACTACTAAGTTAATACTTCTGGTAAAAGGTTAAAAAAAAGGCGAACGTAAGATTTGAACTTTAAAATTTTACGCGGACAAAATTGCGGGCAAAAGCTACTATGTAATATAATTGATAACAATAGACAGCAGTTCTGTAGACATAAATAAGTTCAAAGGCCTCGCCACAAAACAAACGCCTAACAATTATCTTCGCTGGATTCTTTGATGTTAATCTCAATGTACATCAACACCAATCAACTTTAATTGTGGCCGATCCAGCGGCTAATCATGGCTTCAGCCTTCACCATGTCCGGATGTAACCGGTGCAAGCCGGATAGCACCGGATCAGGCGACTTCGAGCTGGTATTTCGTGGACCAATGTAAGCTTAATGAACGTCTAACTGCAAAGCTTCTGGGAATCTTTCATTCAAGATATTCCCAGACGTTCATTTAAACTAATAAAGGATATATGTATACAAATAGACATTCTTATTTATTACCTACTAGCTTTCGCCCGCGACTCCTTCCGCGTGGAATAAAAAAATTAAAAGTTAGTAACCTATATGTTCTTCCTGACTAACCTCTACATCTATGCCAAATTTCATCGAGATCCGTTTAGCAGTTTAGGCTACAAACTCTTACAAACATCCATCCTTCCGTGTAAACTTTCGCATTTATAATATTAGTAAGATAAGAAGTAAGATTTCATATCAGATGATATCATTGAAGAGATTTCGAGCAACCCACCCTTATTCTCGTGACCTTTGCGTGTACAGAGGCGTGGTCCTAACGACGTCATAAGTTTTACAGTCCGCCATGTCTATCACCGCCACATAAAAGATTATGGAAGGGACTGACCGCGGGAGGGGCGGAGGGAGGATGACGTCACCCAGCCTTGCACTACTATCTACGACAATTAACTGTAACTATTTCATTTATTATGATCTATGGTTTAGTATTTAATTTATTATCTGTTATTACGGAAAATAGGGAAAAACATTCTTACTTCTTTATTAATCTTCAACACAAAAATTAACAAAACTTTCAAACGTAATTACGTAGCCGTAGTAGGACTAGAGGTCTCTACGACAACGTGCTACGAAAGTGCTACGTAATATCGTTGATTATTATCGAGAGTGAATGCGTTGTGATAAGGTCTGAGAGACGCAAGGCGGCGGCGGCGTAGCGCGGCCCCGAGCGGTATCTAATCCGACATCGCTTATCGAGCAATAACACTCCATAGCTCCATTGCACCTCAGACGAAATATTAACCGCGAGATCGATTCTAATACGTCACTACATATGAGCCACTTTTTACACTAGTTACAAATTCGAAGCTAAGAGTAGTCTTTACTAATATTATAAAAAGGAAAGTTTTGTATTTTTGTATGTATTGAAATAACTCAAAAACTACTAGGCCGATTTTAAAATGCTTTCTCCGTTAGAAAGGTAAATTATCTGTGAGTAACATAGGCTATTTTTCTTTAAATTTCACGTTAGCGAAATCGGGAGTACTTGCTTCTGGTTTTTGTAATAAAAAGGGTTGTTAAGTTACTTTTTGATTTTTTTTTAATGTGTGTTTTTTTATATGTTTAAGTTAATAATGTTCCGTGAATAGGTGATATTGATAGATGGAATTTCGTCTGCCTTTTTATGGATGAACTGGCTAATTTCCAGATTTTCAGCTATTTCAGTCTTGAAGGAAAGTGGAGTTATCGCATCAAAATTTGAGCCAAAAACTTCATGAATGCGTGTAGCTTGTCGTAACTAGTGATGATTACAAATTCGTTTTTTTCTTAGTAAAGAAAAGCCAATCACTTTAACAAACGGCGTGTAAATTTTTAAGGTTGTCTATAACTATAATAATGGTTGTTTCAAACACATGTAGTTGACAATATTTTGTCTACCGCCGATGCTATACTGAGTCACGGGACATCCTTGACACAAATAATTGTTTATTTATAAATTAATCAAAATAACTGCGTTACGTAAAGATCGCAGATGATCAACAAGTGTTGCGTATCATTTAAACAAAGAGTAGAACAATACCATCACGTGTTGGTGTACTGTTTATATTCTGTTCTGTGTACGTCTAACTCTCCGGGTGTATGCTTCCAGAACTTTCTGTGGTCACAGACATTGAATATACATACTAATATGCAATGATTAGAGCATGTTTTCGCTCGAAGAGCTCTTTATCCAGGAATGCACTTCTAAAATTGACTTATAGCTATACTTTTTTTTATTTGTATTAAGAAAGAGTGGGAAGGTGACTTGAATTTGACGTGCGAGGGTCGCATAGAAAGGAATAATATACTTTTTCTTTGCGCCCTACTATTTCGGCGAAATTGTGTGGCAGCTCCTTTGCCACTTTATTATATAAAAATGTATTTGATATATTGTAGTGGACATTTCAAATTTTTGCTCATTATATTTAAGTATAAAACAATAATTATGTAAACAGATTTAAAAATACAGTTGCGAAGATTCATCGGCGGTAATAGTATTGGAAACAATGTAGCCACGCTTGGTGCAGGACAATTCCTGAGACAACAAAATTTTCCTTTATTTCACAAATATTTTTATGTATTACTAGCATTCACCCACGACACCGTCCGTAGGAAATTAATAAAAATCGACAACAAAAGTCAGTAGCCTGTGTGTTTTACCAGACTATTCTCTACGTCTAATGCCAAATTTCATTCAGCAACATTGAGATCCGTTCAACGGTTTACGCTACCGACTGTAACAAACATCCATCCATCTAAACTTTCGCATTTATAATACTAGTAAGATTATTAACAAAGGACTCGTATCACTTAAAGAGAAATTGCAAACACGTGTTTATGACATTACATTCAACACGCAATAACAAAGTCTTATCGATTTGTTTATTTTTATCAAACTTAACAGGACAATATGTAGTTCTTGCTTATCGATTGTGAAATATTAAGATGATTTTTAATAATTACAGATTACTGGTTAGTTTCTATTTTGTATGACTTATTTACTATTTTACAAAATCTCTTTTTCAGATTTCTTATTAACGTAGTTTCTTTGTTAAGTCTTGAATACTTTAAAAATATGTCCGAGCAAATAACAAAATCATGGTGTTATCGATATGAAATTTACGACTCTCTTTACATCTGTAATGAGCAATCATAAAAAAATAAGAGCGTCCGTCTGTCGGTTAGCACCTCGTAAATATAGTTAATGGTACATGGACGTATTTGGCAGCGCAAACAAACACACATACCGTATCTCCTAACACGGTGGAGAGCTAATTATTTTCAATGGAATTTAACAAAATGACGTAATGTTTATGATAAACCATTTCTCAGTACATAACACACTAAACATAGGGCAAGTTGTAATTCTATACAATATAATTCGGACTTCTTCAGAGAACTGTGAAGCAATAATAACCAATATATCGCAATAATAAATTTTTTTTAATGTAAAATATTAGTAGATTTTTGTTAATTTACTACTATTTCCTTCAACCATTCCAACTAAGCTCTAGGCTTGTGCTAGTATGGTTCGCGACAATAGTCGAATGTCGGGATTCGAACCCTCGACCGCGAAATCGGTAGTCTCTACCCCAAACCATTAGGCTATTGACTCTTAAAATTAAGGCAGCGATTGAAAAGAGTTATGTGGTTTTATTATTTAAGATACAGGAATGGTTACCACTTTAGTTGTCAAAGGACTAGGTCCTCGCCAGCTATGCTTAGTTACTGAATTACAGATAATAATTATATTGCATTTTGAACAGCGTTAATAATTTTTTTACGACTCCTTTATCTG